ATTATCAACATATTTATAGAAGTGACACTTTCCTGGGATCATTTTCAAAAGTTCAAGATTAATTGACTGTTCTATTTTTTAGTGTTAGAAGAACCATTACCATTTTGATAATGAACATTGGTATTTAGAAAGACTTTGGCAATTAATTTCAAAGTTGATGATAGTAAAATACATATGGGTGAGGGATCAATGAAACTTTTACGCCCAGTTGGGACTCTCCTCTCTCCCAGTGTTAGCAAGTTTTCAACAAATTGATTTGATATCTCCATACAGGTATGCTCTCATATTAATTGTCAATTTAAGGATCTTTACATGTCTCCATAACATAGATGATTTCAATGAAGCTCGAATTTCATCTGCTCTACTAACTTTTGGAATGACAGTGAGGATTCACCTAAAGTCACGAGAGAGAAACACAGGTGTTCATCTTATCAGAGAATCATTGTTGCGAATGTCCTTTAGTGTTCTACCCGATGCTTCAAATGCTCTCTTATTGTTTATAATCCATTCAGTCCAAACAATCAAGTAACACCTATTGATAACTTGCGCAATTCCAGAATGCTTTGGTATATTGCACACAGAATTTTTATTCCTGTTCAGATCCATCCAATGGTAATTTTAATTTTGAGTGAGCTAGCTTAACCTCAGGTAATAATGTAGCAGCAATCATTGACTTCTTACCTTGGCCAGTTGTAAAATGAATATTTTCCTGTTCCATCATGTGCATCTAGGGAGAATATTCCACTTTTCTGGAATCTAACAACATCTATAATAGTATCATATGCTATTTTCTGGGCAGATAGAGTATCTGTCTCATTTTATTCTATGTAGATTGCCAAGGAGGCTATATTATATGCAATTTCTCTGAATAAGTATTTTCTTAAATCATTCTCCTTTCCTCTTACTGTATTTTGGGAGTGTATAGATCAGTTCCTCCCATGTCTATGATTCTATTCTTAATGTCAATCAATGGTTTTTGGACAGTTCATCATAATAAGAAACCTCAATATCTGGTAATTGCCCTTGTAATTGTAATTGAAGGTGTTTGCAATCCTCAGCTTAATGGTTTTGTTTCCTTTAAGCCTTAGCTGTCTTTGTTCTTCTGTTTCAAATAATCTCTGCCTCTCTTTCGCGATAGCAGCAGGAGATTTTCTTCCAAGAGAGATTTTTTTTTTCTTGGGAGGCATATTAGCTCGACCCTTACCTGTTTTATTAGCTTAACTGCTCCTTTCTAAAATAAAATGCGTGAAATGTTTATGCTTTGGGATTCTCTACAACTTTATCAATGCACTTTTTCAAAAGAACAATGCGAATACACTTACAAAATATAGGATATATTTTTGGCATCTACAGGCACTTTCCCCCCACCCAGGTATTAATAACCTAAAACCTAATTTAGGTCTAAACCTATCTCGTTGCAAAAGTTTGATTAAGATTGGTCCAGCTGATTTGGTTTCCATAAAAGTCATACGTACAAACGTATATACATAAGGGCTAGTTTATACTATACTAGCAGCATGGCCCGGCGTTGCCCGTGCTTGATTCAAAAATCGTCCGACTCATACAGCAATCGCTATCACTTGACTTAAAATATTTTTCCCTTCCTTGCCTTTAAAGGAGTGCCCTTTGCCGTGCTGATGTTGCTACATGCCTTACTTCTTGCCTCACACTACGATTTTTTTCAAAGCTCTATACTAAACATTAAATCTGTTACGAAAAAGGAACTAAACAAAATGAACACAAAACGATCAGCTTTAAAAAAAAAGGACTCGTAACTGGAAAAACTGAATGAAAAAAGAATGTTAACAAGAAATACTTTTTCACACCCAACCCATTTCTGCGGAATCAGAATCAACGTTGATTTTAAGCAAGCGAATGAGCCAATTGGAGTAAAGTATCATGCAGATTAAAATTTTTCCCACTTGTGATGAATGCAGCTATCTATTTTTTTCGCATGCTAGCATGCTTGTTAACATTCGTGTCAGTCAGCTGTTGGCTCTCACGCTGGCCAATAGAATCTTCCTGCCTATTCGTGGCAGCCAGCTATAGGCTCTCACTATGGCCAGTACAAAATGGCCGCAAACTACATGAAAACTCCCGTAGAAGCATGCAAAAATTGATTATTTCCACTATCGATGGGAGTTGGGAAATACAAAGTCGGTCTTGGCCTTCCCGCTAACTTGGAGCATGTGCATGTAAATTTTGGTGCAAATCCGTCGAAAATTGCGGTCATGCATTCGTTACACACACAAACACACCCTGCCTTTTATAGATAGACATGATATATAATATAGAGTTCATACGGAGACGTTAAAAAAATGGAGTTGATGTAGTCGTTAGAAGGAACTGGGAAGCCAATCCTACATAGGACCTAAAAGATAAGCTACTACTTCTGTTCAAAAGACTGGAGAGAAATGTAAAGTAGAAGATAAAAGAAGCTCCCTATTCCTATTGAGGAGGAAAATTAATAAATAATTATTAAAAACAATTCAGAGTTCAGACGGAAACACTATAGGCATAGAGTTGAAGCGCTAAACATATAACAAAGGATAAACCTCTACTCCTGTTCAATAAATAGATGAGGGAGTGAACTGGACGGCGGACGAAAGTATATACACTTATTTTTCTTAATTATATTTATCAAGTGTCTCATGCTTCAAATAAATAAATAAAAAAAGCTCCACCTCTAGCCATGATGCACCATTGGGAGAAAATTACTGTAGCCCTTTTCAAATCCACCAAGACTGAAGGTATGCCAACAATACCTATTGTAGCATCAATTATCATTATTATTATTATTATTATTATTATTATTATTTTCTTTGATTTCTGGCGTTCACACATTTCTTTCTGGGTCCTTCCCAGGGACCTAAGGTTAGAAATGGCATCATGACACTTTCCACTGACAAAAAAAAAAAAAGAAAAAATTTTACATAGATAAAGCCCTTCGTAAAGTGTGGTCTGTACTTGTCAGAACAATTTTTGTATCTCTTTGAGGCATGGACTTCCAGGAATCCCTTCAATGAGACTACTGCAATCTTTTCCAACCAATCCTAGTGCTCCAACTACAACAGGGATTGTTGATGTTCCCCTGTGCCACATTTTTGAGATTTTATTATCATTATCATTATTATTATCATTATTATTATTATTTCGACTTCAATATCTTTATATTTTGGTAGTTTTGGGTTTTTTTTTACTTGAATGATACAGTCTGCAGTAACTATCATGTCAATAAGAAAGCACATTTTTGTGATCTTTAATCACTATGTCTGGGCGTTTAGCTTTGATTTTCCAGTCCGTACGTATAGTTTCTTTTATATATATGTTTGTCTTACTGCTCCATCTTTCTACTTCATCGTCTTCCTTCCTGTCTCTTAATTCTTTTTATTATTTTTCTCTATCCATATCTTTGCTTGTATCGCTGACAAAACTAACCTGGCTGTTAGACTCGAAAAGGACCTCCAATCGGTTGTTGACTGAGGTCGGAATTAGCTGGTTAACTTTAACGCCTTTAAAACAAAACTACGCTCTCTTACTCACCACAGGTAACCATCCTTGCCACCCATTAGAATGTCTGCTGCCCCTGCTGTTCGCCTTAAGGTCCAGAGACGGATAAGCAATATGGTTGGTCCTGATCTGGCATCTCGTCTTCAGTCGCTCTCTCACAGACGTGCCGTCGCCTCCCTCTGTTTTTTCTACAAAGACATTCTCGGTAACTGCTCCAACGAGCTATTATCGCTAGTTCCCATAGACTGCATGGATTTAAGCGTGCTATTAGGCTGGCATCACGGTCCCACCATTTCACTGTCGAAACGGTTAAATGTAGCCATTCCTTCTACTTCAATAGCTTCATGTCCCGCAACTCATGTCTATGGAATTCCCTTCATATTACTAGTTTCCCTGATAGCTATAAGCTCCAACTATTAAAATGTAATGTTAGTCGACATCTCCAGATGCCCAGAACTATCACCTGTCCTTCTCTTTATCCTTTCCTCTATTACACCTCTTTACTCTCGCTCCCTGCGTACTAGTGGCATCCCGCCTTGCTTGGGGGTGAAATGCTTAACTAAATGTGCTATAATGATTCTTCTTCGATTGATTCTGTTTTCTCTTTCCGTTTGCTGATGAAAGATTCTTCTACATTGTCTGCAAATATGTGGTTTCACGAATTTTTCAATTTAACTTGTTCATCTGTTTATGCTTTCAGGGAGACATCTGTTTATGAATTTTGCTTCTATATCTGCGTATATATTTCACTCCGACATCTGTATCTGTTATGTTCATCACTTCTACATCTTTTTATGTTCTCTAGTAACCGTTCCGGTGTATTTTGTTGTTGTGTATGCATTTTCAACAAAAATCTGTTTTGTCCTCTCTGTTTCATTATGTTTTTACATTTATTTCTAATAGAGGACTAGACAGGATTGCCTATCGTCCGGTTCATCCCTTGTGTCCAGTTCAGGGTTCGGTTTCCGGTTCCTCCTAAAGTCGATATCACCTCGGTAATGTCACCCCCCCCCCTTGAACTCTGAATTTATTTTTTACTATTTCTATATTTCATTTTTTACTTAACAGGAGTAGATAGGTTCGCCTATCGCCCGGTTCACACCCCTCTCTTTTGAACTGAAGTAGAGGTTTATTCCTTCTTACCTGATTTTGGTTCTTTCTAAAGTCTATACTCTATACTTATAAAGCTTCTGCCTAAACTCTGAAATTTTAGGGCCGGACTTCCGGTTCCTTGTTTTCATTCACTTCCACTCCCAGTAGCCCCTTCCGTCCTAGTGGTATTATCGCCTTGCTTGGGGGTGAACGGATTAAAAAAAAAATTATAAATTTTGGGGGTGAAATAGTACCATTAAAGGAAATATGAGATTTTTTTTGGTGGGGGGGGTCTGAAGATTTGCGAAATTTACAATGTGGAACATGAATGTATGTTTTGTCAATTGACTGATTCAAATATCTAATTTTTATTATAAAATCACGGAAGATTTATCTAG